CGGGCAGTCCGGGGGGGTCCCGGCGGTCCGGGGGGGGGCACTTGCTGTCAAAGTAGCTCGTATCCTCCTCGGACTCGAGGTGCGGGATGAACTCGGCCTTCTGGCGCAGCAGCCCCGACCAGTCGAGCGCTGCGAAGAAGCTGTGGAGCTTGACCTCCTGCGCCCCCCCTGCGCGGGGACACGGGGGACACCAGGGCACGGAGTGCATGAGGGACACAGGGGACATGAGGAGAACATGGGGGACATGGGGACACGAGGGCAGGGGGGGATACAGCGACACACAGAGATGCAGGGAAAACACAGGGGACACAAGGGACATGGAAGGACATGGGGGATACAGGGAAACACAGCGGACACAGGAGGATACAAAAGCACGTGAGGGACATTGGGGACACAGGGACCATGTGGGACATGGGGGGACAGGCAGAACATGGGAGGATACAGAGTATGGGGGGACATGGGGGGACATGTGAGAGCCCAGGGGACATGGGGGGCATGGAGGGAGATGAGGGATATGGGGACACAGTGGGTCATGGGGGGGACACAAGGGGACATGGGGGGAACACAGGAGCTCATGTGAACGGGGGCCCCAGGGGGTCCCAGGGTGTTTCAGGAACATCTTGGGGGGTCCCGTGTGTTCTGGGAGGGGGGTCCCAGGGGCTGTTTTGGGGTCCCTAAGGTGTCCCCAGCTCCTAGGGCTGTTTTGGGGGGGGCCCAAAGAGTCCCCAGGGTTTCCTGGGCTGGGGGGCTGGGGTCCCTGGCAGTGTTTCAGGGGCATCCCAGGGGGGTCCCAGAGCTGTTCTGAAGTCCCCAGGGAAATGTCCCCAAGTGTCCCCAGGGTGGTTTGGGGTCCCTAGGGCTGATTCAGGCAGCTTCTGCCCCCCAGAAGCTCATGGGGGTGTTTTGGGGTTCTCAGGGGTGTTTCAGGGTGTCCCCATGGGTCTCTGGGGGATGTAGGGGTCCCCAGGGTGGGTTGGGGTCCCTGGGGATGTTTTGAGGTGGTCACAGGTGTGTCCCCATGGGTCCCCAGGGGTGCTTGGGATCCCTGGGGGTGCTTTGGGCTCCCCAGGGGCAGGTTTAGGCTCCCCAGGGGTATTTCAGGGTGGTCCAGGGGGCGTCCCCAGCGGTGTCCCCGGTGTCCCCGTGTGTCCTCACCGGCGCCCAGGCGCAGCAGGGGGTCGGGCTGCAGCAGGCAGGAGATGAGGTGCTGGGCATCGGGGGGCAGCGCCTCGTCCCCCTCCGGCCACAGGATCTCATCTGGGGACACAGGGGACACGGCGGCGTCACCACTACCACATCATGTCCCCGTAGCAGAGATGACCTGCCCGAAGAGCTCCTTGTGGGTATCCCCATGTCCCTATCCCCATGTCCCTGTGCCCCAATGTGTCCCCATACCAAAGATGACCTTCCTGAAGAGGTCCTCAGGGGTGTCTCCATCCCCGTGTCCCTATCCCCATATCCCTGTGTTCCCGTGTCCCATCTCCATGTCCCAGTTTCAGAGATGAGCTGCCCGAAGAGCTCCTTGGGGTGTCGCCATGTCCCCCCGTACCGGAGATGACCTGCCCGAAGAGCTCCTCAGGGGTGTCGCCGAAGAAGGGCACGCAGCCCACGAGGAACTCGTAGAGGACGATGCCCATGGCCCACCAGTCCACGGGCTTCCCGTAGCCCTGGCGCAGGATCACCTCGGGCGCGATGTACTCGGGGGTGCCGCACACCTGGGGGCCGGGCCCATCCTTAGGGCCTTCCCCCGCGGGACACGCCCATAGCCACGCCCCTCAGGGGACACACCCACCGCGGGACACGCCCCCTCAGAGCCACACCCACTGTGAGACACGCCCTCCCACCCCCCCAGGGGGATCCCAAGAGGGAGGCCCTGCCCATGCCTTGGCCCCGCCCTGTGCCCACCCCGAGGCCCCGCCCCGTGACGCCACCCCCGCTCTGTAGCCACGCCCACCTGCTTGTCACCTCCTCTAGGGGCGCCTCCTAGAGGTTGATCCTGATGCCCCATCCTGTAGCCCCCGCCCCCATAGGCCCCCCTTCTCCATGTGGCCCTCGTACAGGTTGGTCGTGAGGCTCATGAGCCCCATCTTGGAGAGGCCGAAGTCCGTGAGCTTCACATGACCCAGCGAGGTGATGAGGAGGCTGCGGGGACAGCGAGGACATGGGGACAGCGGGGACACCAGGAACCCCGGGGATGTGGGGACATGTGCACAACAGGAACATGGGCACATGGGGGACACAGGGACAGGGGGACATTGG